GTTTGCAGAGAAGTGCCAAGAACCGGTCCTTGCAGAACTGCAGCAACTAGCTGTGGTCCTATGCACTTTGAGTCCATTGTTTTGCCTATAACGGGCTGTTACACGGTAGAATGGCTGAGTGGAGACTGCAGCCTGATGGGGCATCCTGGTCATAATACCTGTGTCCTCTAGAGATAAAAGGAACCTTACATATAATAGGGCTGTTTCTGCTTTGCAGTGACCATCCCAACATAACTCACCTATGCTTACCTGACTAATTTCTGCCTCTGCTGGCTTTGAACCACGCCAAAGAACTCAGTCCTGTCGGTTATACTGTGGAATTAAACAGTAGCTGCTACCTTAAAAGCAAAGCTGATGTTAATAAAGATTCTCACAGATAACTGACCATGAAAAGCTTACTGCAGCTTTACAGTAAAATAAAAATGGCTTGGCTCTTACTGTAGCATTTGAAAAACCCTACATGTGGTATTCTTGTAGTCTGATTTGGTGTTTTGGGTTTTTTTGTTTTGTTTTGTTTTTCCAATTAGGGGGATAGTGGAATGGTGCCTGAATTACTTTAAAGCTGCATTTTGGTTGAATGATGCACTTCTGCAGTGCAAGAAGCCATACTGGGATTTTTTTGGACATTGCTTGATGTGAAGAAAGCTAGGCTCCTAGGTATGCAAGAGGAGACACACTGTTTTGTTAAGGCAATGAAATTGTTTTTTTCTAGTCTTTTATAGAAGATGAGCATGCTGCTGTCAGTATTTTGCCTGTTTGAGAACCCACAGTTGATAGTAACATTTGAGAAAAATCCAGAAAATTACTAATAGTATATAAAGGGTTCACTGTATCCAGTACTACTTTGTACGCACAGTAGAGCTGAGGCTTAAGTGTCTTTTGTGCAAAACTGTTTGGATATGCTGCCTTTTAGCATGTGAGCTGATGATAACTGGACTTGGTTTGGCATTCACAGACGTTGAACTGCTCCTTACTCTTGACCTGCGTCCTTCGGAGTCAAAAGAACAATTAAAGCAGGCTGCGTTACAGCAGTGTAAATACACTGACTGCAGCATCTTACTGGAGTCTGACGTTCCAGCCGCCATTTTACATAGCGTGCTTCTCACCCCTGGCAAACACCTCCAACTTCCAAGGCTTTGGATGGTTATCCTAAACAAGGAAGTTGAGCCTTATTTTTAATTGATACCTTTCAAAATGTGGGCTAAAATCTAAAACTGCTCTATTTCTGACAGTATACACATTCTTAAGAGTGGTGGTACCTAACTGCATTCATTATGCAGCAAAGTCAAATTCTGTAAAAACATTTGTACAACTACTTTGAATTAAATACATTTTGTGATGGAAGTACTGTACGTCTTGTTGCCCAGTTGTGAGTGGAAAGCTTCGAAATTATTTAACGAATCATTAAATGCTCCTAAGTGTCTCCTTTGAGAAAAGCATTAACTAGGACTTCATCTTGTATCAGGACTGTTGATGTTAAATCAGCTTTCAAAGTTGACATCTGTATGTAGTTCAACTCGTTAGAAAAAAACTATCACTTTTGTGATATCATAGTTTCTTTAAAGGCATGTTTTAACTTGGTACACCTTTCTTTGCTGGAAAATCTCAAGTTCCTTTTTAATCCTGGGAAAATTAAGCACTTCTGTCAAAATTTAAGACTGTCAGAAGAGTGAGATGAACTTGGCTCATGCAGTGGCGTAATCTTGTCAAGTTGTGCAATGGTAAACTAAATTTCTCAAGACTTTCTGTAATCCTATGTGTGGAGTAAAATCATGCAGTTTTTCTCGAGAATTGGGCCGTTTTAAATATGTGCAGTAATAAAAGACAATTTTCTCATTGCTTAAGGGTAGACCTGAAACTCTTCTTAGATGCTCAGATAATTTTATCAGGGTAAATCTGAGATAAGAGTACAAGAGACAGGCAGCCGTTCCCCTTATGTAACTGAGAAATGGAAAATGTGCTTAGTGCTACTCCTGGTGGTGTGTTTCAGTGGAAAACCAGAGGTGGGAAGGGAACTGCCTGGCAGCTGCTGAACTTCATTGACATTCAGCCATACACACTCCATTATGACTTGGGATCAAACCAGACACTAAACCTGTGCTTTGTGAAACATGGACTATGTATATGCTGCTTGTTTTGTGAAGGAAAAAACATCTTTTCTTGGTATTACTGGAGCTGAGATCAGCTTTCTGGCTTAAAATGTACTGTCCGTATAAATTTGGAATAACAGCTACATTTGCACCCCATGTTTGTATCAGATTGTACTACACATCAAATGTGCTGATGCTTGCTGAAACGTTAACATATAGTTTTTAAGTGGGCTATAATAATACAAATAGTTGTAATTCATTTACATTTCTACATGGAAATGATGTAGTTCACAGTGAAAACAATAAACACCTTGCTTTTTTATAGCAAATATGAGTACCTTGGCGAGCCAAGCATAGTAGCTACACAGCCTTGCATGGAATCCCATTTTTGTAACTCCTAGGTGTGGGACAAGGATGTCACTAGCAGAAACATCTTGGCTGAGCTGATGTTCTGATGTCTAAATGTAGATTTTCATGTGTTGGGATTTTGGGATTACTTCGCTCATAATTTTTCAGCATTGATCCTTAATGCAGTTGCTGAGTTTGGGTTTGTTTTAGTTCGGTTTTTACGTTTGTAATTAGAAAGCTACTCTAAAATTTCCATTTAATGTTTTGGTGCAGTGGAGGCATGTGCTTGAAGGGCAAATGAAGATTTATAATACCTGTGCAGATGACAGGAGAATTACTGATCACACACCTTACTTTTAAGGACAATACATTGGGTGTGTAACATTTAGATCCAGATTTTAAAAAATAAAAAAACCAACAACACTTGTTTTCCACTAAACCTTACCTCTGTGACTTAACCTGTGGCTATAAGCAAGAGAGAAACCAAGTTTCTGAAAGGATCATAATGCTCTGGCCCTGCGCTTCCTGGGAGGGAAGGGTGTGGTCTGCATATGTCTATAGATACAAGTGAAATTAATGGCACTCTATAACATTTTTTGCATACTTAGCTTCCAGTGGAGACTATGAACAGGACTCCATGCTCTGCTTTTCAGTGTTAGATGTGATTGAAGATTTGCAGGTCATTCATTTGGAGGCTGGAAGTGAAATGAACAGTTGTTTATCTTGGGTCATTTTCTGGTTCCCGCTCCGAAGAGAGCATGCTTTTTTCATCCAGAAAGACCTCTGCTGTGCCAAGACTTCTCTGATTAACTGCGCAGCTGCAGCGTATTTTCCACTTCATTTGTGTAGATGGTGCTCTCCCGGTTCTTCAGTTCTGTCTCTCCAGATTTTTACTGGCTACTGACCACAAATGACTCATTCATAGTCAAAAACAAAATAAAATTACTACAGCCCATGATGCAATTAATCCTTATATGTGCCATAGTGAAAGACACTTAGGATAGATTTCTCACACTCCTGTATTAGTGTTCTCTTGGTAGCCATATCTAATGTACCACGTGCTCTCCTTGATGGGACTAACATGGCTGTTTTCAGAGGCTTGCTTAAGAATTGTGTGGAAGAGCTAAGAAACACTGGTTGGTAAATACAATCTGTGGACAATTTGAAGGAAAACTTTTCTGACAGGTTTGTCCTCACAGCCTGTCAGGGGGACTGGAAAAGAGTAAAAGAAAATTGGGAGGTAGAAATGGACCTATACCAAAAAGATGAAGATTTAGTGAAACAAAGCACTTGAGGATGACTTGAGGGCAATGAAGCAAGCAAGGTATGGAAGACCAGCAACATGAGGCAGGCCAAAAGATGTGGAATGCTGAATGAGGATGAGACTAGTGAAGGAGAGGAATGGTTATGGTCTTTTATACAATCAAGAGTCTAGTAGCTTCAAGATGTTCCAGTATGACAAACTGCACAATTGAGAAGTTATAAATGCCTTATTTGTATGCTTATAATTCTTCATATAATTCCATTTATAGAGGTTTTCTTAATTGCTCTGTATCTCTCAATTGTTTTTTATAGGAATTTTAATTCTGGTTTTCCCTCTTTTCTCTGCTAAGCCCACTCCCATTGTCTTGTTGCTTCAGTCTACCACTTACTTCATTTTCAAATGTCTCAGATCTCTTAAACACTTGCTCCTCACCACAGAAGTACTGTCAGTGGCTCCTACCAGTCTAACCTTTTGGGATCTCAGTAGTTTCTCTTTGCTAATTTTGCTGCTCACTATGGAATTTTACAGGGAAAAAAACAAATAACACTGTTAGGATTGCTGAACAGATGCCATGACACTGGGAGTAAACATTAGTAGGGTTTAGTAGGCTTCAAAGCTCTGTCTCCATATAGAGTTCTGTATTTTAAAGGCGTAAGAGTGCCGTAATTATGACTTACATCTATAAAGCCTCATAGAAAACCTTATGCAAAATCGTTCCATCTAAAGGTGTGACAAACTTATTGCAAGGTATCAGCAGTATTTCTGGGCATTGCTTGCTTCGCTGCATTTACCTCTTCAAGTAATGATTATTAAAAGAAAAACTAAAGTGCTATAGATTACAAAAATCAGAGTAAATATCTGGAGACAAATATTACATTGCTACTGCAGTTTGATTAACTCTCGTTTACTTCTGTCTCAAAACCACAGTTTTGTTCCTCTGGAGCAAGAAAGGAAAACTGAAGGTCTTGGGTCCTGCTTTCTTTGTGAAAGCAAACTCTAGAGGTAGTCATATTTTATACTTTAACACTATTTATTGTACAAACAAGCAATTTATTAAATATAGTACCTGTGTTCCTTCCAAAAGACAAATGTGTGTACAGAGACTTGTTTTTTATTCACGTTACAGCTTGTCCATTGAAATCAGTATGAGTTTTTTTTCTGAGGACCAATCTCTAGTTAAGTTCCGGTGTGCTTCTAAATGAAGCCTTTAAATGCTGTCTTTCTTCTTAGAACTACACATGATGGAGTGAACACTCCTCAAACGCTACTGGTCTTTGGGCAGCGGCATTTCACAGTGATCAGTTGATGTCTGAAATCTTGGATAGTTCATCTTTCATGTCTTTGGCCTCAGTTTGAACTCTTGTTAGATTGTCCAATTTCTCCTTCAGTAAAGCAACTTCCTTTTCTCGTTTCAATACATCCTCCACTAATCTTCCTATTCTCAGCGTTAGGTCACTTATTAAAGGCTCCAAGATGGCAAAATCCTTTTTAAGCTTAAACATCTTGGGCCTTAAATCATTTGCAAATGTGACTGTCTTCAGAACTTTTGCTCTGTCACCTTCAAGACTCAAAAGCCTGTCTGAATGCTTGTTAAAATCACTCCTTAAATCAGATAATGCTGTCTTAATTTGCTCAATTTTTCTTGCATTACTGGATGCCAAGCTTTGTAGTTTAGTACTTCGGTCGATGCTACTCGTAAGCAGGTCACCTATGTTTTTTACTGTGGTCTTTTCACCTTTTTCTACTTTATCTTCCAGTGCTTGCAAAGAATCTGTCAAAACATTTATATCTGAGACTAGGCCTGAAATGCGCCTCATGTCAGTTTTTACTGTCACAATTGCCAAAGTTACGTTTTTTGCTACAGAAGCTGCATTCTGTTCAACATTTGAAACTGCGTGGAAGAGAGTTGTTAAATTCTTCTGCAGTTGTTCTTGTTTTTTAATTATGCTGCTAGATGACGTTTTCATTGTATAAATATCTTCCTGCAGATGTTTAATGTGAGAAATTATTTCAAGATCTTCCAGCTGTTCCATTAAGTTCCAAGTCTTTTCACACTAGGACACACAAAAAAATATTTGACAAGACTTGTAGCTTAATTCACATTAAAACTGAAGTTACATTCTAATGAAATATCTTACTATTCTGATATTGAAACTGAGCACAAACCATGTCTTGAGGAAACAAACTTTTTGCAACACAACCAAAAATTTCATTTTTTTCCTTTCAGTAAATGTAACGAATTCAAAGGTTACTACTTCTTCTGTATAATAAACATTACAGGAAGGTGCTATATGACTTTTCAGCATGACCTCTGAAAAATCAAGTCACCCAATGCAATCTTCTAATTTACAGAATATTTTGTATTGTCTATAACCTGTGTGATCCAGAAAGACACATGTGGAAAGATACTCAGAAACATTTTAGAAAGACACCCATTTTAAAATTCTCTTATCCAAAAATCATGGACCATAATTAGCTGAAGTGTCTTTACTTTGGTAATCATCATATGTATTTTGAAGCCAAAGGCACTGAGCACAGTTCCCTCCTGTTTAAATAGCCACCAAAATACTTCACGGGAAAAACATTTCTTAAACAACCTGCCTCCATAAATGCTACGTTAATGAAGTGTAATGGTTTGAAAGCAAACCAGTGAGAGACTCCAAGTCAGAAATACAATTTAATAGGAAAAAATAAAATAAATGCAATAAGGAAAACCACAGACAGAGTCAGAATACAACCTGACACTCTGTAGTTAAGGTGGTGGTAGCAGTCCAGATGAAGCAGTGGTCTTGTAGAAAAGATCTGGTAGCTCTTGTCCTCTGGAAATCCAGTGGGTAAGGGCCCCCTGTGCTGTCCTGAACCCCAGTATATATCCAGGTGAGAGCACCTGGCTCCTCCCCCTGGGTGGAGCATCTCACAATGGGTTGATATCATTCTGTGGGTCAGGCAGTGGGTCCTTGATGGTCCATTAAACAGAAATAGCTCCTGGGAGGAGCTCTGTATGAGTCATGGGGCAAGGCATGGATGGGCCCATTAACAGGGAGGACTCCTCCTGCTGGGTGGGAAGGTTTTAACATCTCCCCAGACTTCTTTCCTTATCTGTTATAGCCTGGGGTGTGAGGTCTGTCCTGGGCAGCTGCTACCCATGATTTTCTTAACAGCCCATGAGCAATGACATAGAGAGTATAGAATACACAGTTTTTGGTTCCACCCACATAACGATAAACTGGTCCCAGCCCCTGTAACAATGACATGAAGGAACACTTGTGCTACTGTTGGATTTTTGGAAGAATTTGCTAGTTCACTACTTTTTTTGGTGGGTTTTGTTGTTTGTTTTGTGTGGGTTTTGTTTTTGGTTTGGGCTGTTTTGGTTTTTTTTTACGATTAGTTTTAGGTTTTCAAATTGAGAGGAAGAAAGGAAAATACCCAAATGACGCTATCTTGTGCAATCCGCAATGAGAACTTGCAGAGAAAAAAAAGACACTAACCAGGCAAGCTGAAATACGTTCCAAGAGGCTATAATTTTTTTTTGTACCAATCCTTTTCTTGACATTGCTAGTAAAAATATCATCAAAGAAACAAATATTCTTAACTTTTTGATAATGTTGGTCATCCCTCACTAGCACAGAAATGTTTGCTTAAAACCAAAATACCAAAATTTAGTTTGTAGAGAATTGTGCTGGTTTCCTAGCTAAAACCCTCTAAGAATAAGGATTTCCTCCATTCAATCACGTGTACATTCAGCTTTCAATAGGGTCGAGACTGATGAAAAACATTAAATTAGGAAGCATACCACTGCTAATTTAACCATCCTTCCCCCAAAATAAATGAAGTAGAAACACATTAGCATACACTTATGAAAAGTATTTTTAAAACAGTAGCTCTTCTAGAAGAACAATGTATTTTGAAGTAGGTTATGCACCATGACAGGGCAATCTACTACAAAATATTTTTATTGAATATGACTGTAAATACATACAAATGTATACCTAACTAAAAAATATATGAAACTGACTTTATAACACTGAGATATGCTGGTTTAGTAGTCTCTTGAATGGGCAGCCTTAACTGTGTAGTGAAGATTTCAGTAGAATTCTAAATAAATGAACGTAGAAACCCAGAATAATTTAACTGAAGCCTGATTTAAGTCACAGATGTCATGTGTTCATACTAAACAAATCTCCTTTCTTCAAGTTCAGGAAGAGGAAATCGTCAAGACCTAAGTCTCTAGACAGAAATTTATGGTGGTCCCAAGATCTAAATTTCAATGAACTGCTACCAGGCCTATTAGGTAGTACTGCATTCTGCATAAGTAGGTCTATTAGACCTACGGGTAAATTACATATTCCCTGCCCCCAAGCCCGTAACTCCATGGTTTTCATTGATCCCTTCTGCCACCCTTAGTTCACTAAACCCTGGGAAACAACGTCAATAATACTGTTAAGTTTTTTTACCTTAAATGCAAAGCAGGACCAGACATGTCATGTAATGCCTAGCAGAGAACATTCTAGAGAACAAAAGTTAAAACTTGTTTCTAACAGCACCATAACAAACAAACAATTAAAAAAAAAAAAATAAATCCTCCAAACTAAAGTAATGACTGATCATACTACACTTACAAATTAAATGATAGAAGAATCTAACAGGAGTATCTGTTAATAAGAACTTCAGTCTATACAGAGTACAACTACTTCAATGGCAGAACAAAAAAATATGCCAGTAGTTTTAGGAAGTTTGAAAAGTCTGACAACAAGCCCTAAGGAGGCTATTTGCAGGGGGTCAAAGAAATAAAAGAGAACACCTGCTGTTATGTAACCCCCTGCTTATAACTATCAGTACAAGAGGTTTTCAGTAAAGGGTGCTTTACCAGTGTTTTATGTAATGCTGTTTTATCTAAGCTTCAGCTGTTAAAAATGTATTATACATTAAAAGCGAGGTACTTGTATATCTACCTAGATATGAGAACTTAATTGCTTTTCGTGCTACAAGCCCATGGAATATAATACAAAAAGTAATATAAAAAAAATAAATATAAAATATAATATAAAAAAAAGTAATTAAGTAGTGAAAACTAAATATCAACTGTAATTTGAGGTCTCCAGTTTTGAATTTTTTTCCTTAAATCTAAATACCTTGCTACAAATTCCTTTTTCATAAAAACGGACTTTTAATAAATAAGTTGAAAATAATCCTTAATTTAACAAAATACTCCTTTCCTCCTTCAGCACAGTATTTCTTGCTCTCTTAGCCTCTTTATTATAAATTTCCCTTTCAGACTGATCCAATGCCTATTTAAATTAATGACAGTATTTCAGCTATCCTTAACATACATTGCAATCACGTTGTTTATAATAAATTAAAAGTGCTCTTTCGTCAATGAAAACCCTAAGTCCAAATTCACTTATCCCCATTCTAGTCATTTTTTAAATTATAGTTTTCTAAAGTTATTTCTTTTGCTTCTGAAGATACTTTAATGTCATGCACTACTTCTTCTAAAACCACAATTTCCTTTTGCACTCTCAGTTTGCTGTGATTGTCCTGTATGCCTTCAAGAACCTTCTGCATCACTGCTGTATCAGAAATAGTTTTCAACATATCGTTTTCCACAGTAAACAGCTGTGTTGTCATGTCCTCAATCTTCCTCTCCATACTTAGCAATTCACTTGATAATCTAAGAATAGCATGAATAGCATTTTCAATTGTTGGCAAATGGGTCTTGCACTCCTCAATTTTAGGTTCATAGTCTGCAAGTTTCTGATTCAGGTCTGTGTCCTTGGCTACCAGACTGTTCTGCTCTTCTTCTAGCTTTTCAACTGCCTTTGCATGCAAGTTCAACTTTTGTTCAACTCTAGAGAATTCATCATCTTCTTGCCTTTTTAGTGTTCTAATATTTCTGGTCGTACTGTATTCCAGATCTCTTACTCTTTCGGAAAGGGATTTAATTCTTTGGTCAGCTTCATTAATTTGCGAAGTAACTTCTGTATGGATGGACTTTGCTTCAGACTTCAAACTACTAGCGTTCGTATTCATTTCATCCAAGCTTCTTCTCCAGGAATTTGTAACATTTTGGAATTTCTCATTAATGCTCTGCATCTTTAGAGAGAGAGTCTGTTCATTGTTCTGAATATCATTTATGATGTTATGAAGAGAAGGTATTTCCTGCTCAAATTCAGTAATCACAGAGATGGATGAAGCAGCTTCTTGTAGGATACTTTCAGAAGACTCAAGCTGCATTTGTAACACAAACAATATCTGTGTCTACTCGGCAAAAGTAAGAATAGAAAGCCATTTGTATTTATTTAACAGAGAAAAAAGTCCCTTATTACATAGCTCCTATATGATTAATTTTCATATTTCATCTTCAAAATATTAAGCTAGCATGAAAAGGTCACATAAAGGGGTATATTTGTTGTTGAATTTCTATAGAATACATGCCATTATCTTTGTTGTCAATCCCTTATTTTCTATAGTGGTTTTGGTTTGTTTCGGTTGTTTTTGTTTTTGTTTTTGTTTTTTAAATACATCACACTACATAAATCCCATGCAACATTTTGCAATCTGAAGCAATCTCATATAGCATATAAATATCTAAATTACCTCACATATAAGTTACATCATTATGAGGACAGTACTAAAACAACATCACTGACATAAGCCATGCTGTACTCCTACCATTCTGTCAGATATCGGGGGATAATTTGGCAGCCAGCTCATGTTTCTACTTGACAATGTGACAGAAAAATAAGAAAATAAAATGCCAATTAAAAAAAAATTACTATCACTTCATTACGTCTTTCATATTATTAGAGCAGGTCTACTACATAAAAATGCCTGTAAATTTTCTTCAAATCAATGTATATTAGAATTATACATGGAACAGTACTGGTAGAATGAAGTATCTGCATAAATTTAAGTTTTTTAAAATAGTTTAGTGTCTAAAAAAATAATACTAAGATATAACCACTATATGGACATACCTGAAGAATGGTACAGATTGACACATTTAGTCACATGAAATATTCTCCAGAGGCCTATTCACAGGCAAGTAGAACACAGTACGAAAATTAATTTTAAAACTGTTGGTTAAATTTAACTAAATGACAAGAAAGTAAAACAATGACAAATGTCCATCAGAGATTATCCAATTAAGATCTTAATGATTACCTTTTCAGAAATAAAGTTAACTTTATTTCCCATGTCCAGGAATTTTTCAGCTTCTTGCTTTAAGAAATTGTATTTTTTTTCCATATCAGCAAATTGATTTGACTGCTGAAATAGGAACCTGCAAATTGCAAAGAAATACACAGTAAACATAACTACTTAATTTGCATATATGAAATGTTCCAGGGCCTAATTCACAGCAAATTGTTACTGTAGGGATTTGTGTTCACAGAATTTTCTAGACCAATGCATAAAAGGAAAAAAAAATAATTTGCATTTAATAATGCTGACCTGTCTTCATACTGGAGTTATCTTCCAACAGAAGTGGAAAAATAAGGAAATATCCACAGACGTACTTGATTTTTACACTGCATGCCATTCAAACAGGTAAACTGTCTGATAAGACTGCTGACATAACAGAGGCTTTCTCAAACCTGCTCATCATGCATTGCCTCACAATGTACTTTACAGATAAAGTATTACTTAACCAGTGGAAATAAAACACTTAAAAATAATTCCGACTTTCTTGCAAAGCATCACAAAATCATGCATGGAAGCCTTTGGATTTAAAAGGGGCTGTTGTTTAAAAGAGGCCAGTGACGAGTGGAGTCCCTC